TGTGTGTGTGTGTGTTTGTGTGTGTGTTGAAAAAGAGAACTGGAGGCATAGAAAACCAGGTCGTCATTAGCACTGTCTGGCTGTCAGAGAATCCAGTACTGCAGTCTGATTTGTGAAGGCTGGTTTCTAAGAGGATTCTCTCTTCCTCTCTCTCTCTTCTTAAAACGTCTTTAAAAACAAGACATCTGTAACAGAATAACAGGAAATGACATGCCATTGGGGGCTGCTGACCCCCATCTCACCCATCGCATGCCAGATGGAAGCGAAAAACAAATGTTTGGTTTACTGTAAATCTAGAGCTGTCACATAAATTTGCACTTACTGTACGTGTTTAGGAAGAAAGCTTCCTGTGACATGGGTGTAACTCAACGTATGAGCCAAAGACAAACAAATAATACATTAAAAAGGTTAAAAATTTCAGGAAAATTTTTTTTTCACGTCTTCTGAAGCCATGTGATAGCTTTTTGTAAGGACCAGACAAACTTTAAGTCAATATTCACTGAAGGTCATGCAGTTCAATGAGCTACAGTACAACCAGGTCATTAAGTCAGTGAGATGAACTCAAGAAATGGATTCGTCTCATTCAAGAACAAATTGTTCAGATTGGTTTTAAAGGGATAGTTCACCCAAATCATTCATCTTTAAAACTCAAATGAAGATATTTTTAATGAAACCTATGAGATTCTTTCTCTCCATTGAAAGTCCATTCCACCAAAACCTTCAAGTATCAAAACATTCATAAGAACATCTTAAAGTAATCCATGCGAATCAAGCTGTTTTCTGAAGTCTTCTGAAGAGACACTGAATACTTTGCATTGAATAAAGACACTATTGGCTTCTGCTTACAGCTGAAGGGAACGCTTTTCATAATTTATGAACTTTGGAACATTGACTCAGTTATTATTTATTAGTTATAATAATTGAATTAAAAAATGTAACTAAAATGAGCTGAATAACGACACTATCATCATCTATAGACCTGAATTATGGTTGAATTGAGTTTGTTTCATAACTGATGAACATGACAGTTACTGAGCTAAACTGAATCAACATTGAAATGTATTGATTTGAATGACACTACTGTCTTCTGTAGAGCTGATTATAGCTGAACTGAACTCATTTTCATAATAGATTAAATTGACAAAGTTATTGAACTGATCTGAATCAACACTGATCTGAATTGAGCTGAATAATGCCACTATTGTGTTCTGTAGAGCTGCTTCATCAACTGAATTGATGAATTCTGCAACATTAACACTGTTATTAAGAAGCTTGTTGTATAAAGTGATATATAAATGTGATTTTACTTGACTTGATGTAATCGCTTTATATGATGAACAGATTTAATTAAGACTTTTATTCACATATTAACACTGATCAACACACATACAGCTCATCAAATATGTAAAAAGAAGTTCAAACCTAATGGAAGCTGAATTTAAATTTTTACATATAGAATCAGAAAATAACTATTTGCTTTTTGGCAGTCAGGCCTGCTGGGACATCTTTGTTATTGATATTGCAAGAGTGACATGCCACACCCAAGATGGCGGAGCTTTCTGCTGAAGGCCAACTTCTACATGTGATGTTTCTATATTAGACTAATTTTAATTGATATATTTAATTTATAATACTTACCTCATCTCTTGAAATTAATTACAAAAGACAGATATCTAGTTTCATCAGAATCCTGTTTTCTTGATGTTTTGAACAAGGAAATGCGTGGACGTATGGAGGTCGGAGGAACTGCAGTCACTCACAGCCTCGTTTGTATTGCTGTCAGAAATTAAATATGCCACTTTACCCCGACTAGGGACTACTGCATTAAAAAGAGCAACAGTTAAATTCTTTAAATTAAAAACCATCAACACAGCATTTCTGCAACTGTGAGATAAATGTTCTAGGGCTATGAAAAATTTGTGAATCCTCCCACATCATCAGGTCAAAAGGTTAAAGCGTGCAATACCTTCAGGCACTTAGATGGTAAAGAGCGCTATGAGTATCCACCGCAATGCCTCAAGGGATTTCTTATGACCATATGGCCAAGAGCCAAGGTTAAGGGTTATGCAGTCGTTATCAGGAAAGGCATGGTCATGCAAGTGAACAGCATCAGTGAAGGATTAGAAAAGAAAAATGAATGCCATGAAAGAGGCCATTTCTTTCGCCATTTTTTTTTTCATCAAGGAATTGTGGCTCTGTGAAGCTTAACAAGCATGACGGAATTGCAAATTTGACCCATATAAAAGAGACAGAAAACGGTACTATTTTGTATGAATTAGCAGCATACCTGTACAATACTTGGTGTATATGACATTGACCTTGTAGACCTTGCAAGTATTACTCATTGACTATCAGAAAGACATTAATTCAACATGCAAACAAAATCTGATGTGCAGTGCTATTTAGAACTGAGCATTAGCTGTCAAAACCATATTTTTAATATTCTAATTAAATGATACAGTTTTCAAGAAATCTCCAAAAATTCTAGTACAGAGGGAAAAAAAATTCCTCATCGATTTCCTTCAAAAATATGAAGAGGTAAAAAAAAAGAGCATATGTTGTTTACAAAGCGTGAACACTGAAAATGCAATCAGATGTGTCAGTCGATAGGAAGACAGTATCCAAAATAAGCCCTCGCTCTTTGTTACTGCAAACCCAAACAGAGAACTTTCTTTAAATTAGTTATTTTATACTTTTTTTTTTTTTTAAATAAGGATGTCCCCAAAAGGAGGTTTTTGGAGATTACGTTTTAGGAGTCAAAATTTGTCCTCAAAATATAGGCACACGCACACACACACACACACCACGTTACTGAATGAAGGGATTTAGATAAATTAAACATTTTTGTAAAGTGTTATTTTCAGGAGTAAAGTGTGTTCCTGTAAGGGGTAGGTTTAGGTGTAGTGTTGGTGTAGGGCAATAGAATATACAGTCTGTACAGTAGAAAAATCATTACGCCTATGGAGAGTGTGTGTGTGTGTGTGTGTGTGTGTGTGTTGTGCAAGCTTACATGTGGGTCTGTCTCTGCACACTCACATGTCCAATCAAACTTCATTAACCATGAGTTTCTCATTAATGATTCAAATCTAATTAAAGTGCTTCCGAGGATCATTATAATGCATCAATGGTAACTAATTACATAAAAAAAGACTTGCCACATTATTACAGAACACGATTAGATTAAGAAACCTGGAGTTTGTGCAATACTGGGTGTGATTCTGAACCAATGAGTGTGTAAGTTAACATCCAGAGATAGTCATGTATGTAAAATCAGCAGCAGTTGGACTTACAGTAAAGATCGTGTTAAAGTAGATTCTCCTATTCCAGTTGTAACATGTAAAAGTCAAAGTAGGGCAACAAAAATAACAAAATCAGTTAATTATTACTTTGGCTAATCAGATTTTCCACATCCTGTCCAGTGCTGTCCTTTAATTTGAGCGATGACAGCTACTGTGCTTGATACGGTGCAAGACTTGCAGGGAACTTTGTAATAAGTATCTGCCCTGCCATTGAAATTGAATATTCATATTGTATTGATATTGCTATTGTAAAGATACTCTACTTGTCTAAAACTCTTATTGATGGTGTGATTTTGTTGCTGTCATACTGGCAGCCAGTCACTGCTTTGCTGACCATGGTTGTAAGTATCAATACATCTGCCTTTTCCAATGAGAATTCACAGTAATCTCAGACAACATAATTTTGATCAAATTCGCAAATGCATATGAAGAGCCAAATTTGCCAGAGATGAATTACGATTACAAGATCTAAGATTTGTCACATCATATCAGATATATTATTGTGTACAAAGAATGGGGCCCTGGAGGACCCACAGCACTGCATATTTTGTATTTTGTATTGCATATTTTGACTTCCTTATTTAATACACCTGATTCAAATCATAGCAGTGAGTGGTACTGAACTAAATGTACTGTGCTGTGGGTCCCCAGGTG